AATTATTCACAGCTTCAGCTGTGCAGTGGTGGCGCACACCTTTCATCCCAGCACTCGAGAGGCAAAGGCAGGTGGATCTCTGAGTTTGAGGACAGCCTGGTCTACTACAGAGTGAGCTCCAGGACAGGCAGAACTACACAAAGAAACCCTGTCTTGAAAAAACAAAAGAATAGTAATTATCCACAGCTAACCTTTTTGATTCTGTTACAGAATATATTTTAAATCATTTACTTCAGGAAACTGACAGACTACAACTCCAAATATTCTATTTTTAGATTCTGTAGAGAATCTGTTCCTTCACTATAAAAGTTTTAAACATTAATTTTCTTTTTTTTTAAGATTTTATTTATTTATTTTATATATTTATTTATACAGTGAATGTTCAGCCTGCAGGACAGAAGAGGGCACCATATCTCATTGTAGATGGTTGTGAGCCACCATGTGGTTGCTGGGAATTGAACTCGGGACCTCTGGAAGAACAGCAAGTGCTCTTAACCTCTGAGCCATCTCTCCAGCCCTAAACATTAATTTTCTGTTTTGTTTTTTATTTAAGACAGGGTCTCACCATGCAGTCCTGGAAATCTGAAAATTGTTCTATATTCTAGACTGCCTGAACTCACAAAAACCTACCTACCTCTGAGTCCTGAGTGCTAAGAATACAGGCAACATACATCGGGCCATGATAATTGTGATTAATGAAATTCTTTTCTTTTCTTTTTGTTTTTTGTTTGTTTGTTTGTTTTTTGAGACAGGGTCTCTCTGTGCAGTTTTGGCGCCTGTCCTGGATCTCGCTCTGTAGACCAGGCTGGCCTCAAACTCACAGAGATCTGCCTGGCTCTGCCTCCCAAGTGCTGGGATTAAAGGCATGCGCCACCACCGCCTGGCTTGAACTTATTTTCTTGAAAAATGCACTTAGAAAAAAATCACACCCTAAAATTGTTCACTGTTTATTGTAGACCCCATCCCTCAAAGGCAATGGAATAAATTAAGCATCTTACCAAGGACAGAAAGGAAAACGTGGCACAAAAAAGCAGACCATCAGTGAGACATGTCTTTCTTGTTGAATACACTCAAAGACACAGAGGAAAAACAGTCAGCAAGGGGACTAAACTAATGAAGTGCTCGGGCAGCCAGGTCAGAGACGCAGCAAGGATGCAGGGCAGAGCCACAGAGGTATGGCAAGCAGGTAATGGCCAGACGAACGTAACCAGACAGAAACATGGGGAGAAAACTGCAGTTATGGAGAATAAGCAGATCTCTAGTAAGAGGAGATAGTTCAGATACACAGACCTTTATGATCCAAGTTAACAAAGGAACACAGGGGTCCTGAGAGCCAATACTAAGAAGGTGCTGCTGCTCTGTTAGTCCCAAGAAACCTACTTCCTTCACCATCCCAGAAGAATCCTTGCAATTAGCTTCATCGCCCACTAATTCTCCCTGGCTCTTGCAATCAAAAGCATTTTCCAACTAAAGGAAGAGACTGGAGGCTTACCTTTGGGTATCCCCAGTGGTGGCATTACTTGAAGTGTTTAAACTCATGGTAAGTCTTCCAGTTTTTCACAATAGCCCACTGTTTCTTAATGATATACTTCTTTATGATGATGTCTGTGACTTACAGGTTAGATGGACTAAAGTCTGTTAACATAATAAACAATACAATAGCAATTTTATATTTGAATCCTGAGAAGGTGAGCTTTATTCTTATCTATACCCTATTTGTTGATTTCTAAATTATTGTATAGAACACAGATAATTCTGAAAACCTATACTGTACAGCTGGGTGTGGTACACACACCTGAAACCCAGCACCTGAGGGAAGCAGGGGGATCAACTCAATGTCATCCTCATCTTAGGAAGGTGGAGGCCAGCCTGGGATAAATGACATGCAGTCTCAAAAGAAAACAATGATAATAATGCTATAGGGCTTTTTATTTGAAAAACATTAGAAGTAAAAAAAAAGGAGGGCATAATGTTTAAAGAAAAAAAGTTTAAGAACACGGTAATGTTAACTTTTAATCTGCTTTAATTTCTTAAATAAAAATAAGAGCGACAAGTTATTCTTGCACTTGGAAAGAAATATATGTAGTACCAACCTTTGGGACACAGAATTCAGTTTAAATAAATGGGGTATTTTAACACAATGTTGTCAATGGAGATGCCAAAATACTCCCAAACAAAAGATCTCATAATAATCTGCTTAATTTCACACTTTTTATTCAAAGATTCAAAACAAATAAAACCATATCACATCACTGTGAAAACATCTCTTACCCATCTGTACGGGCAGTCTTCCTTCATAAATTAGTGCCATAATTTAACCATTTCCTCCAAAGAGGAAGCAGGAAAGAAAAGAGGGTTGTCGCTTACCCTGGCTGACCTCCTGGGACCCTCTTCTACAGGAGAGATTCCAAATAACACAGAGCCAACCATGTAAATCAAGTTACTTTACCATAGCGCTAAAGTAACTGGGTAAACACTCCAAACAGAGATAACGCTAATGCAGATATCAGTATCCCACAGATGCTTACAGCCCTTAAAATCCAATGTCCTCAGAAAGACTGAAGTTTAAACTTCAGAGACCTGAACAGGATCCAACCAGCACAAGTATATGGCCTTAGGCAAGACACTTAAGAGTTTGTGAACATCTTCCCTCTGCCCAAGAGAGTTAGCTATGGCAAGCTCCTTCCTTCTAAATCCTACACACAGCACACCAGGACTCAGCCGCTATCAGTTTTTATTACTGGGTCATGGAACTTGGAAAAGCTTAATGATCCCCAATAAAAGGGAATAGCTGAGTAATTTGGTCTGCGAAAAGATGTAATAAAATAATTATTTAATGATATTGTGAGTGTACAAAGGTACCCAAGACGAAAACAAGAGGAGAGAAAGTGTCAACATGTTCTGCCTCTGTCCCATTAACCAAGCCCCAGAAGAAACCCTGAAAGGAAGCTATTCAACTAGAAGAAGTGCTGAGAAATAATGATTCCAACTAACAGTGACTCATGCGGCTGAAAGAATAATTCGGTCCAGGGAAAACAGGATGGAACTTTAGCCAAGTCCAGAAAAGAAAAATCGACTTTCTCCAGCGGCCTAAATAACGAAACGTAAGAAGGGTGGTAGTGGCCAACTGTGCTGTCCCTCCTCTGTTGGGCACCCACCGTGGCGTCCAGAACTACAGTCTGAATATCCAGAACTCTGCTCCCAACAACACTTCAGTGTTTCAAAGGACAAAAAGACGGCAGGGTAGCAACATCTTGAAGAAAGTAACAGAGTTATAGGGCCAGATCCCAAGGCCTAAGTGCTTGCTGCAAGGTCACCGATGACTCAGAACGTGGGGCTGTTACCTTTGTTTCCATTTGTGGCTGCTTCCTTACCCTTGTTCCCATTATGGAAAGTTCCCTGGGACGGAGAAGCTAAATGACTTGCCCAAGGCCAGTCAGTCACCCACTACAGGACGTGGGGAGGTGACGCTGCACTCAGCCACATCTCCTTGTGTGTATGCTTGTTTGGTTTTGGAGTGTGAGCCCCAAATTTTTTCATACTACCAAGATGTTCCCAAAGATCAGACCCCAAACAAGCCTCCTTCAGAACGTTTGGAAGAAGAGTTGGAATCTAGCAGAAACAGATGCTCTGTACTCCGAGTAATGCCAGGGATCACTGACACACAACCAAGGATTTTGTTTTCTTTTGTTGTAATTTTATTATTTTATGCAAATGAGCGTTTTTTGCCTGAGTGTATGCCCCACATGCATGGCTGGTGCAAGTGGAGGTCAGAAGAAGGCATGAGATTCACAGACAGCTATGAGCATCAAGTGGGTGCTGGGACTAGAACCTGGGTTCTCTGCAAGAGAAATGGTTTTTTCATTTCTGGGGGTGGGGATCAATACATACACATACAATCTCCACACACATTTATATACATATATAGTCCAAAGGCATAAAAATATCTCTATTTTACCCTCTGGGGAAAGAGTTGCAGATGGACTAGAGATGCAAGACAGTGGTCAGGCACCAGCTTAACAAGCAGGGAGATCATGAATTTCACCCTCACCAGCACACACACACACACACACACACACACACACACACACACACACACACAAATAACTTTAGTTTTTAATTTTTTATTTATTCATTTTTATGTGTATGAGTGTTTTGCTTGTACTGTATGTCTGTGCACCATATATGTGCCTAGTCTCCTCAGAGGCCAGTAGAGGGAGTCAAATCCCCTGGAACCAGAGTTAGATATGGTTGTGAGCCACCATTTGGGTGCTGGGAATTGAACTCAAGTCCTCCAGAAGAGCATCCAATGCTTTTAGCCTCTAAGCCATCTCTCCAGCCCATAGAAATGTTTTAGATAATAACAACCATAAAAATGTTTAATTTTGTTTTATTTTTCTTTGTCTTGGGAAGCTAAATGGGAAAAGGAATAAATGATCAAATTTGTTGTTTGTTTAAGCAAAAACAAATAGAAAAAATCATTTTTTCTGTGCATTTAGGCACCTAATGTCTTCAAATCTAAAGTCTTCTAGATGTGGGCTTGTATAGAGCCGCACAGAGAGTTCCTTCAACCCCAGACCAGATGATTCAGACAGATGATGTGGTAAGCATATGGTCCCCACATCTTCAACCCCAGTGCTTTCTTATGTAATATTCTTCACCTGACAAAGAACAACCTGGGACCTGCTTCTGTGGCAAAGGTGGCAGGATGGCACTGCTGTAAGATTGCTGGGGTGGTAGCAGAGCTCACTGGCACAGCATTTGCACAAAACGGCAGAACCCTATCTTCAAATCCCAGCATGCAAAAAAACAAACAAACAACAACAACAAAAAAAAAACTTAACACCTTTCTTTTTAAATTTTGTTTTATGTACATTGGTGAGAGGGTGTCAGATCCCCTGGAACTGGAGTTACAGACAGCTATGAGCTGCCATCTGGGTGCTGGGAATTGAACCCACGACGTCTGGAAGAACAGCCAGCACTCTTAACTGCTGAGCCATCTCTCCAGCCACCCAAAGCTTACCACCTTTAAAAAAGCAAATTGCCATGCTATGAACTACCTAAAGGCAGGGCCACAGGGAAGTGCAAGCAGTCTCATGGCCTCCACTCAACAGCTAGTATACAACTAGATCCCTCCAGCATACGGTTCACAAGAAATAAATTCTGTCAGGGACCTGAGTAGGGGGGCAGATTCCACCCAGTCTGCCTAGAGGTGAAAATACAGCCCAGTAAGCACCTTGTAAGTCCCCAGCAGGGGGCCCAGCTCCACTGCATCAGGACTAGTAAACCATAAGACAGTGATAACAAGGAGTGCTGCTGGCCAGCTGTGGTGGGAGACACCTGTAATCCTCACCTGGAGGCTAAGGGAGGATGTTCTCAAATTCTAGACCGGCGTGAGTTACTTAACAAAATGTGGCCTCAAAAGAAGCCAGGAAATTAATAAAGCAATGTTCAAAGTGTGCAGTTTTAAAACGTTGACTTTGCAGTAACTTGTTATACAACAATATAAAACTAATATTGGTAGTTTGAAAGTGCTCATAGAAGGGTAAAAGTTTTAAAGCTGAACAGCAAAAGACAAGAGTATAATAGAAAAATGGATTCTCAAACCACCTCTGGCTACAAGCATCTTGAATTAAGGCTCTTGGCCTGTTTTTCATTGGTTTTTGTTGTTTTTGTTTTCAGTTTAGTTGGTTGATTGATTTTGTTTTTTGAGATAGGATCTCACTGTGTAGCCCTAGCTGGTCTAGAACTCAATTCATAGACCATGCTGGCCTCAAATTCAGAAATCTGCCTGCCTCTGCCTCCTGAGTGCCAGGATTAAAAACAAAAACCACCACACCTAGCTGGTTGGTTGTGTTTTCTTTGTTGTGGTTGGTTGGTTGGTTGGTTGGTTGGTTGGTTGGTTTTGAGACAAAGTCTCATTAAGCTCAGGTTGGCCTTGAATTTACTACACAGTGGAGACTGGCCTTCAACTCCTGATCTTCCTGCCTCCACTTCCCAAGTGCTGGGACTACAGGTGTGAGTCATCATGCTTGGCTTCTTTGTTTTTCTATGGCATAATCTCCTTATTAATAAGGGAGTCTGTAAAATAAAGGCAACTAGTTAGAGAATCGAATCAATCATGGACAACACTTAGCAAAACACCATCAGCCGCAAAATCCACAGAGAAGCAGTGGGAGTCTTTAGAGAACACAGGGAAAAGGACATCTGACAGAGCCTGAGGAGAAAGCGGATCCTTACTACAGGTCAACTGGAGAGCAGTGGATCAAAGAGGGAGAGCTCTGCCCATTCTAACAGTTTCATGAAACACATGAAATACACATGGTAAAATAGTCATGAAGAGCTGCTTCAGCATGAGGAACCCCCCAAAATGGGTCCTGTTAAGGTCCTTCCTGGACTGAAGAGAAACTTCTTTGGCTGGAATCTAAGAGAGAGAAAGTGGGGTGGGGGGACGGCCCAACAAAACTGGAGGAGGAAACAAAGTCAGAAAGATCTCCAAAAGCAAGCCCCCATAGCATTAATATACAGAAAGAAACAACTTCATGAAGTTAGAGCTTACCTGAGCCTTGCCTCATTCTCAAGGTGTTAAGTCTATCTCCCATAAAAAGAAGCAAAAGAAAGGGAGTGTGGTCCCC